CACAGGAAAACAATCGGCTGACTTGCTTTCGCGCCAAGCGCTTGCTTGTATCAAGGCCCAGGCCAACGATGAAGGATGCCCCGAAGAAGTAGGCCCTCACACGTGCCACAAAAAACACACGCGGTTCTGAATCTACCAACATTAAATCTGTCTCAGCGAAGACCTTCCACTGAAACCAAAACACCCCCCCAAAAAATAGGGATAACAATGAACCAGTTGGCCCTATTTTCCTGGCTTTGTTTTTGCCTGGAAAGCAGTCCCACTGCACAAACAAAACAGCATATCATAATTTTCTCAATCTGTTCCTTTATAGGTGATTCCACGGGTACACTTGACGAGCAACGTAGGCCGCCACCTCTTCCACCTCAGCGTTGCCGTGCGAAGGCCAAGAACAGCTACGCAAGTTCGATGAGATTTCCATGAGCTCAGCGGTTTTGAAATTGACCGTCCTGGTTTAAAGAAGCAACCCCCATGCTAGTAGATGCCATCTGCCTCAAATTCTTGATTTGGCAGCTGCAGCTAAGGGGGCCAACCAGGAACAAGTGCAGGCACAGTTCACCTGACGCAAAGTCTTTGAGTCTTTGATGAAACAAATCAAAATCTGCTAGGTTTGTTGGGTGAATCATGGGGCGCTGATACTCTGTGGGGAAATAAAGGGGACATTGATTTAGCCACCAACCACTCCAACTACAAGTTGGTTGGCTGACCGTGAACCCCAATGCTGCCGCTGCATGGGAAAGCATGGACATTGATAGAGCCACCAACCTCTCCAACCTAACAATTTGGATTTCTGACTGTAGATCCCGGCCTCACTGTGGAAAATCTCGAAAGCAAGCTCCACGGAGAGGACAAATGCCGCGGGAAGTTGACAATCAAGGGAATGTACTTCACATGGAAATCACAGAATCTCAACAGCGCCAAAAACCCAAACATGGGGTTCACTGACCCTATACCAATGCTCAAAGAAGCTCACTCAGGAGCCTCAGCTATAGTTAAGTTGCCAAATACTATGGGTCGAGCGCTTGTACGCCAAAACTGGATCGGATACCGGAGTTGGCAGAAAGCCTGCGTCCGGAAGGTGGCGGTGTGCTCCCAGCACCTGACACAAGTCACCGCAAGAGCAATTGAGAATCTTCAATGTTCAACACTACTGCGCGCGACTTGTGTGCTGGCAAGGCCTTCCAAACACCTTCGCCTCCGGAAATTGCTACCTGGCCATGTTTCGTAGACTACGCAGCCTGTTCCGAACGTCGGTGATCAGTACTGGTCCGGGAGCCAAAGCAACACTACAGCTGCTGGCTCTGGGAATGGGGGTGAGCTCTCAAAATGTGGGCTCAGTGCAGACAAACACAAACTCACTATGTGAGTTGGAATTTTTGCTTTGTGGACCGTGGACCCTTTGACCATTTGTATCATCTCAACACTCGCCCCGCAACTGGCTACACTGAAGCGCATCAACAATCATAAGTTCCTTGATCAGGGTAGCCCTGATTGGCCAAGCCCTGTTCAGCTGAGCTGAAGGAAGCCTGGCCCATGGGCTCAAGCCGCGATCAACACCTATAGCTTTGCCCCATATGCAGCTCATCAGTCTCCCTGGTGAATTTAGTGATCAGTGGCCCAGCTTCCTTGTGGGGGTTAGCTGCGCCACATGTTTTTTCCTTAGCAACCAAATTCTGCATTGGCTTGAGATCAAGGTTCGCCAAGAAGTCACCTTTCAAGATCTCTGCCTTCGGGCAGCAGGGAGAAAAGTGAAGACACAACATGCTGCACACATGATGTGAAACTATTGTAGGACTGGTTTCAGTTCATTGCCCCATCCCGACATTGGACCAAGCAGCTCGCAAGATGAACGTGGGCGTGACAAAGTTTCTATGGCTGGCTTCCCCATCACGCAGCTGGAAGGTGTAGAGGTCTACCCGTCGCTGCACTGAGAGGTTGTCGGGTCTCTTCAGGAATTGTCGACGGGACTGTTACCCTAATTATATATGCAGGTTTTGACTCTTGGTGGGAAGTTTGCTGATGCCCAAAGCATTGAAGGGTTAAACTCGGGCTACATCAGCACATTTGTTTTGGACCACAAGGCGAACGCCGCAGGTCTGGGCCCTCTTCAAGAACTCCTCGCTGAACCTGTAAAGAAGGACTTGTCCAAAGGGTTCATGTTCCTGCCCATGGGGTATGAATGGGCTCAAGAGCATCAACCCTTCCACCTTTACATCAAGCTGCTGTAACAGAAATCATGCGCAACGACTGCCACATGTCAATTTCAAAGATGCTCAAGCCAACAATGAGAAGCCCATGAACAGGCATGAAAACAATCCCGTCGGAGGCATTAGCCATGTCCTTCCTCTCTTCCAAAGTCCGCATCTGAGACGCTTGCGCCTGCGTGGGGAGCGCTCGAGGCCCATGCCGTGCCAACCCAGCGATTTCGATGAACCTCCTGGCAAGGCCGCCGCAGTCACGGGCGTACACCCCCACATCCGCAAGCTCACCACCAGCCGTGCACGGCAAAGGCCAATTGGACCAATGGGGGTCATCGGCCTCAAGCGCAATGGGCACAGGTGACCACCAAGCAAGATGACAAACAAGTAGAAAGCAAAACAAAAGCGCACACACAAACACACAAATTAACAAACAGAAGGCGAGTAAACAAGCAAAGAAAGAAAATACCAAACAAACAAACAAACAAACCACACTAGACTAACCGCAACACAAGCAAAACAAAGAAAACATCGAAGCAGATTGGCGAAGCAGGCCCGAGTCCCAGCAGGGAGGTTGTCACTAGAAGGGAAGTGTTGCAAGTCCTGCCAAGACAAAAAAAGTAAGAGGAGGATAGAGGAGGCACCAAAATTGGCCAAGGAGCTGGCATATAGCTCGTTGATCTACTCTTCGGTCCTGTGACCTCGTGGCCAGAAGCTGGAAGTCAAACCAGCCAAGGCACATGTGTAGATCTCCGATGGGTGGTACCGCGCGTTCATGAACCCTGCATGGGGCGGATCGGATCGCCCTCGGCTGATATGAGACCAGCTGGAAAATAGAACGGTGCATCCATATATAGAGTCTAGAGCGGATTTCGAGGAAACGCCCAACAGTCACGCCCGCACACCCTTTCAGAAAACACAAAAACGAAGAAATACAGTAAAGCAGACAAGACCATGCAAAGGGGGGAAGCAGTCAGTATGCACATCCTCAGAGCCCTGGGCGCCATCTTCACCAAGGACGGCAAAGCAGCTGCCGCATGATCATCCCTCTCGTCTGCAGGCAGCGCACTGAAGACGCCTCTTTCGACACTGCCATGCCCCAACGCAACGCCAGATCCGACCCACGAACCGCAATCCGTGACTGAGCCCAAGAGCTAGGCAGCAACGGTGGTCTCACAATTCTCCCATTTCAGAATCAAAACCTTCAACATTGAGGAAGGACTGCCAGTCCACATCAACTGTACGGACTCCCAATGAACTGAACCTCTCAACCTCACTTCTCAACCCATATTTTTGTCAACAAGCACGGGTCCACCGCAAAATCCTGGCCTCACAGCCCGCGTCAAAGCGGAGCCGAAAGAAAGGCCCAAGTCCAACCTTTGTAGGCACAAAGACAAGCTTTAGGCTTTAGATGTGACTTCGTGACTGCACTCCACCACAATCAATCATACCGTGTCAAGTTCCATCTCATCTATCTGGGGCTCCAGGCCCGGCAGGAGGATGTAGCTGACCGCCGACCGTGGACCTTGGACCTTAAGCCTGGATGGCTACGTTGATCCTGCCTGACACCACCGGAAAACAACAATTAGCTAAACTCACACACAGGAAAGAACATGGGTTTCACACATCACCTATTCCACGCTTGACTATATTTCACATGATCATATCAGTTGTATCACCAAGCCCGTGAAAGGCAAAATAACGACTCCTCTCAACAGTCTATATCTTAATATGCCTTCATATCCTTGCATGATTGCATCATATGCACCAGCTGGTTGCAATTGTAACTCTCACTATTGTATCAGTTGCACCAACAGTCAATGTCCCAATGTATCTATCATTATTGCATCAAATGATTTAGCTGTTTGCAATTACATGTTATTGCCCATAATCACTCTATGTTCAACGCACTGGAATTCGTACAGTACATTTTTCCAGCGGGAAACTCATATCCAACAATGCCTGCAAATGGATATATAATTTGGACCCACTGAAGAGTACACAGTTTAGGGTTTAGGGTTTCAATTGATTCGAGAAATGGAGTGATGATTATGTACAATCAATTCAAACACACTGTGCATGGTCCAAACAAGACTCAGATGAACCAAGTGGATGAATAAAATGAAAGAAGTCGTGATAATGACTCTGCTCTCGGACACTTACAAACTGTTTAGTATTTGCAATTTGCAAGCATTGTTGGATATAATTTGAACCGAATTAACAATTTACAATTTCAAGCGGGTCGAGACATAGAGTGATTATATATAATGATTATAATGTGTGTATATATATATACATTAAAAGCTATAGTATAAACATTCAATATTGATCAATATTGTATAATTTCAAACGGCTCGACAAATGTCAACTATATTTGGACCCCCAAGATCCAATTGTGCGTGCGGTTCTCGTCGCGAAGCAACCTCCCAGTTCGACCGGCTGCAAGAAGGAAATACTGTAGACCAAACCCATTGGTTGGGGATCTCTCTATTACGTGCCCATATCGGTGGATATTCAAGTAGGCAAAGATCCGGTGGCAGGTCAAGGAAACCAGAGTCTAGATGGCACTCAAAGTATCAACATGTGGAACACCAACAACAGCATTGCGATCAAATGTCAACCCAATGCATCTTCACAAAAACACCTCAGAGCTGAACTGGGTTGGAACCTCGAACTTCGAGCCGACAGAATTAAATTCATCTTAAAGCAAGCCACCACCAATCAACTTCCGTAATCCCTCTGCCCAGACCTTCCAATTCATCATTCTACCCCACCTTGGACAAGCCACCACCGCCACAAATCTCAAGAATTTGGATGAATTTGGACCTTCACAAATGGCCACCCCCGTACCTCCAGGGCACCCAATTGCTTGAAGGTCTGACAGGCGATGAGGCCTGTGGCGCCCGCCGCGCCGCTCACATAGGCGACATCACCGGGCTTTGGCCGGGCCACGAACTTGGCCTCGAGGCGTTGGAGGACGATCGGAGGGCGCCGGCATCGATTTCGGACGAAATCCGAGCTCCTCAAACAGGTGGTGCCGTTGACCTGGACATATTAACCCTGGTCCTTCAATGGATCTCTCGGGTCAAGTCGCTCCATGCGGGGAAGATTCAAGCGAGTCCTCAAGGGATGTTCATTAACTTCTTGGTCCGGTGAGAGCGCGTGAAAGGATGCATTGAGCTTCGAAGAACTATTCAGACTGCAAAAAGGATGAGTCTGATGATTCTAGATCTCACTGTGTCGTTTTGCCGTCTCTTTCACTAGATCTGCGGATCAAATAGTCTCGATTCTAGATCTAGATTCTAGATTATTCTCTTTCCAAAATGATTTTGATCCGGGAAAAAGAGGCTGCCCTGCCGCAGCACAGAGAGCTGCCGCTGCACTCCCCTTTGTCGGCAAAGGTTGAAAAGGTCAAGGAGGTTTGAAGCCAAGCCGCCCAGGAACAATCGGATTCCACAGATTTCTACAGGTTAAAAAATGTATGGATGAAGGAATCAAACCAAACCAGACCATTTCAGAGTAAACCAATGTAAAACACCTTCGTTTTGGGCGATTCATTTCAGAAGGATGGTCAAGAAGGGGCTGTGTGCCCCCCACGTGTGGTTCCCTGGTGCGGATGCCTCTGAATGTCCACCATGAGACCATAAAAACGAGAGGAATTCAAGATAATTCGAGCAAGTAGGACTCATGTTCCGCATAGAATTGACAACAAATCAAAGGACCTGTGTGCACCATTTCATCCAAAAGGAGTTCAACAGGGAAGCTAAACGGTAACGAATAAGATTCATAGAAGCAAAACGATAGCGGTTTGATTGGAGGTTCTAAGTATTAATCTTTATTCTGCCAAACTAAGAAGTGCCACAAAAGATTCGTCCTTGAGTAAGACATCCATGGACAGTCTGGTGAGCACATGGAATCACCTGTGGTATATTCTGAATATGGTGACAATCTCTTTGATCTCCACATGTTCAGTGTACAGTATGCCAGAAGGACATCCTTCGTTCGTCGGCTGACAAGCTCGTGATGCCACCATGCCACGCCGCAATAGCCGGTCTGTGCCACCAGCTCCAAGCAACTGAAGGCAGCCTCGCGATTTCCGTTGTTGGTGAACAATCATCGGTCAGAACCAGAAAAAACATGGTTCCTTATGTCCAACTTCTCGTACAAAACCTGTGAAGCCCACCTGAAACGCGCACACACACACACACACTTAGATTGATGCTCGCAAGAGCTAAATCAGTTAAGGCAATCCACTAAAGAAGGCAATCCACTTTAGTGAATACGTTACCGGCTGCAGAAACTAGACCATGACTGGCAAAACGGGAGGGTGGAGAAGTCCGCTTCAATAGCACCGATGTAAAAATGCAGGTACGTTCCTGAGGCACCTGACGCATCCCTCGGGAATGTCACAGTCTCAAACCACTGTCTTCGTTGGGCAGTGGATGGTAAGAGACTCACTGCCCCCCTGCGTTTGTCGTGCATGAAATCCTTACTTGTTAATTCGTCTGTGCACCTTCCTTGGAAACAGGTGTTGACACACACAAAAAGCCATCATTTCGGCGCGCGCTCCTTTTTGTCCGCGGGGAAAGGTGGGGGCGGAAAAAGGGTGTGGGAGTGCAAACGAGCGTGCCAACCTAACAAGCCTGAAAGAAAGAACAAGGCAAACGAAACAGGCAAGGAAAGAAAGGAAAGGTGCAAGGGGTGCGGGGGTGTGGGCAGGGCGTGTGTTGACTAAACGAGCCTAAAGGCCGACCTAGCAAGCCTGAAGGAAAGCCCAAGCAAACGAAAAAAGCAAGGAAAGAAGGGTGTAGGGTGGAGGGGTGTGGGGGTCCTTGCCCGAAGGCGTGACGAAAAGCCGCAAGCGGCGCACCCTTGACTAAAAGGCCTGAGCTACACCTAAAAAAGCCTCTAGAAAAACGAAAAAAGACCTAGAAAACGAAGCGCAACAGCAGGAAAGAAAGAACCAAAAGGTGACTACTTAGCAGTGGCCTATGATTACCTAGCATATCCTAGCATCATGGCGGGGATATGTGATTACGTAGCCGCATGTACGAATCCGTTCTGGAGTTCGATCTCAGTAAGCCCTGCGGCAAATTGATCAGCACTTTCGAGCAGAACGATGGAGCGAGTAGGGATCACGATGAAAGGATCAGGTGCAGGACTGGGGTTCCGGGAGAGGCACCCTAAGGGCATGTGCACTGCGCCCCTCGCTAGGGATCACACCACAGCCCGCAGTGAGACTCTGTGGCGAAACACACTTAGATTGATGCTCGCAAGAGCTAAATCAGTTAAGGCAATCCACTTTAGTGAATACGTTACCGGCTGCAGAAACTAGACCTTGACTGGCAAAACGGGAGGGTGGAGAAGTCCGCTTCAACTGTATTGTTTAACATGGGTGAGACGGAGAAAGTTCATTAGCACTTTAGAAAGATACAAAAAAGCGGGTACGTTCATGACGCATCCCTCTGGAATGTCACAGTCTCAAACCACTGTCTTCGTTGGGCAGTGGATGGTAAGAGACTCACTGCCCCCCTGCGTTTGTTGTGCATGAATTCCTTACGTGTTAATTCGTCTGTGCATCTTCCTTGGAAACAGGTGTTGACACACACACACACACACACACGCACACTAAGAAACAACATAAACTGCAGTAAACCTATCATCACCATCATCATCATCCGCAAGTTCGCCTGAAAAACTACACGCAAAAATTGAAACAACAATAAACTCGCTTGACAAATTCGCCGAGCATCTGCAGGACTGATCCCTTCGGGGACCTTCTTGAGCTGCTCAGCATTCACCGCGTTCAGCTCACGCCAGGGCGCCATTGCCATACAAAGCTCACCCTTCGCAAAGCCTTCAGCCTGCCCAACACGCCCAAACACGTGCATTCTGGAAACTGAGCAGTTTTCAAAAGCTCAGAAAGCCACGTTGCCAACCCGTTGAGCCGGCTCTGGCCAGCAAACGCCAGGGCTAATGGGGGACGTCAGGAGTGTGTAGCAAAGGGGACTTGATTCTGGTTGTACGGTATACTTTATATAGTTAAATATAGTTATATAATCGACATGACCATGGACCATCATACTACATCCTGGGAAGGTAGAAGGAACATACACAAAACAAGCCCAAGCAAGAATCCGCTCAGGACAACTTTGACATGATGTCAACATCCGACTTGGGGCGGAATGCAAGCAAATTTATTGTTCTATAGAATGATATATTCAGTGCCTCGCAAATCCCAGCGGAGGAAAACAGTGAAGAACATGCAGGTAAATATGCCACAATATGCCATACATGGAGTGTCTGCGTTTGAGAAGGTTCCCAATCCCTTTCAGATTGTTCCTGCCACGAGCGGGAGAAGTTGCTCCAGAAACTCGCTCCCTCGGCGAGTTCGTTCATGAGTTCGTGACTAATGTGTTCAATATCTCGAACTGCCCGCGAGGTTACCCGATTCGTGGAAAAACACACCGTTCGAATTTATCAGTGTTCCATGAGTTCCCGATCTAGTCTATATAGGGGTTAGCCCCACAGGCCCCATCCCGATCTCTGTGTTTTTGTCAGACCTTTTGTCCAACCAACTTAGGTGGTCCCAACCGCTGGACGGATCTGGAGAGCACTTCGCCGCTGTTCCCCGACCCATTCCGCAGCCTTGGATTCGAGGACCACGCCACAAATCCGCCAGACCGGCACACTTCCGGGCGTCCAATTCATAAAGGCCCAATAGGCCGAACCCTGCGGATGGGTTGGTGATGAAGCACAAGCCTCTAAGAGGGATTGCAAAATGATACAAATATATGTTTGAAAGGGTTGAAGCTTCTTTGGGAGTCATAAGGGTCTCTAGACTCTAGAACGGCAACCATGATTCTTTTTGTGGAAAATGCTCTTCAGGATTGGGTCATGGATTTCCATCAAGCCCTGTGACGCTGTGTCCAACCTCGAAGCGGTTCCTGTATTGAGGGGACAATTTGCCCCTATATAAAGAGTTCGACGATATGTTCCTTAGCTTAGTGCAGTTCACTTGAAAATTGAGGCACGCCAACGGGTCATCTCATGGTCAAACAAATATCCCCAAAGGTCCAAAGACTATTATACTTTAGTTTTTTTAGTACCATCAAAAATGAGGGAAATTCCTTTTCGAGTCACCCAAAGACAATTCATTTTGCCTCCCAAGGCTTGGAGGAATTTGAAGATCTGTTCAGAACCAAAGGTTCATTGCTTCAACGGCCCGGCTCAGGACTCAACGGTCCAAAACAAACACAAGGACTTCGCAGCAAGACCGGCCTGGGTGCGGTCCGCACCCTCCTCTCCGGCCATGGCGTTGCGCATTGTTGGGTCCATGCTCATGAGGTGAGTGCCCAAGATGACCTCATCGGGACCCAGTCTGAGCTGGATAAAACTCGAAAGAAACCAGCTGGATTTGGCCTCCTGCAAAACCCAAACAAAGAAGGATCTCTTTTTGAACTGCGCAACCATCTCACGGATCAAAGATTTTATTGTGGGTCAAACACAACCAAAATCACAGTGTGTTCTCCGAAACATCAACTCCCAAGTACTCTCAAAGTGGAGTTCCAACTGACCCAAAACCACCTCAAACAGTTCTGGTGGATTTTGAGTGTCTGTTGTCGTCGATCCCCCTGTAGTTTAATCCGGATATGATGAAATTTGAGCTAGGATGTCCAAAGTTTTCGAGCCGTTAGTCTCCCACCGTGTCTGATCAGGGACCTAGGAAGGAACAATGGACAACAAAAACACAAGAAAACTGCACAAATGCAGTTGAAGAGAGGCAAAATTCCAATAGCCACAGCCATACACTTCAAAAACCGTGCATGTCCAATTTCACAGTTCCTCCATGTTTCGCCATCCAATTTCCCGGGCTTCCCTACCTGGTTGTTTTCGCAGATGGGAACCTCACAAGGCCTGAGCTCCAAATCGCTCGCCTTGAAGCCTTCAATGCCCGGCCTGGATGCGGAACCGCACGGAACCCGCGCTTCGAGGGCCCAAGTGAGATTCTGGATGAGTTCAGTCTGAGCCCAAGCCGAAATAGTTGAGGGGCACAAACTGAACCACCAAGAGGTGAAAACACTCGAGTTCAGGGGGTTGTGAGGAAAAAAACACACCAAAAAGGCAAAAATGCAAACATGTCAAGCAACCTGTAAATCCACTGTGCCCTGAACGAATGGAGAATAAAACATATCAAAATTGATAGAACTTTAGCACGCTTAAATGATAGCTACGTACTGTAATCCGTCGACCCCCATCTAGGACAAAAAACGTGAACGTGAGGCGGGCAGCCCGTTCCTGAGAGGGATTCCACAGGGCGATGGATGATGTTGGTCAGCCGTCCATTACCAAAAATCTGCCAAAAATGGACAACGGCTAGGTAAAGATCTAGATTCATACCGTTCAGATCTTTTGCGCGAAAACATGGTCTACGGAGGTGCATGCGCGCGCGGGGAGTCCTTACTGGATGTCACAGGAAGCACCCCCAAGCATGTTAGACACATGTTGGTTGAAACAAAGCAGTCCGACTTGAACAGTTAGTCGGGACGGTCCAACGCAGCACTTTGGGTAGGACAATTTGATGCCTGGCTCCTATTTTTTGAGATACATCTCTTTGAGATCTTTGAGGGGATCCAACGAAAAACCAGCCAGACTGCTTAAGTTGCGCTGGCTTCACATCCCTGTTTGAGTTTGGGTTTAGAATCTAAGCTCGTAAGTTGTCTGTAAGTGACACACAGTTGGCACGGATGGATGTACAGTCTAAACTTTCTGATTGAAAAGCCTGAAAGCAAAATAGTATATTATGCGAACTTTGCTGGACACTCAAAGGGCTGCGGTCAAGTGAGAAATGCTAAGGATGCTGTACAACCATGCTGATCTGTGCTGTAAACTCTTCACACTTCTTCTCGGTAGTGTGAGCGCCCATCAGCTAGTTTAGCTCACTCTGCCACCATCATAGCTCTGTTCAATGTGTTTTCTCTAAGGAACGGGGTTCCTTGAGCCTCTCGAAATCACTTCGGCTAACATAAATTCAAAGGACTCCTTCAGCACTGATTGCATCTGAATGAGCAAATGTCCGTATATATATATATAAGTACTTCGCGTTGTTTCTTCAATCTATCGTTTTTGCCTTCAAGCACTGATTGCATCTGAATGAGCAAATGTCCTTGAGATATATATATATATCTGTATATATATATAAGTACTTCCTGTTGTTTCTTCAATCTATCGATTTTGCCTTCAAGCCTGCCACGTAGTACTTGTCTGTGTTCTTCCTCATATTCCATGCTATTCGCATATTCTGAGTTTCCACCTTTGCATGATGTTGACCCTGGCCCATCTGAAGGAACTGCTCCATGAGTCGCTGCCTCCAGTATAGTAATTCACGTCCACCAAATCGCCCGGGGCCCTAAATGCTCAAGCCTCCTTCTTGCTACATAGTTTGCTGCATGTGTCTTAGATGTCATATCATCCTCAGCTTGCGCTCGCACTGATTCACTTTGTCACAAAAGGAAATCTCTCAGCGCTTCATAGCGATCTTCAAAGTATTTCCATCGTCTCCACATTGCAAAGGTCACTGCTGCAAAACCAATGATAATGATCATGGTGATTGTGATTCTCCAGTTTCTATTGGAATCTTCCACTTCCAACAAGCACTGATCAATCTCTCTCAGGAAATCACTTGCTTCTGTAACCGTTGGCTGCAAGGCCTCCAAAGTCACAATTCTGGCAATCATCTTGGCAATTTTGTTGACCTTGCCTGCAAGTTCGTTCTTTCTTCATACGCCCCTCTGCGCCATCAACCAATAAGGTTCATCAAGGGTCTGACTCTCTGGCCTCCAAGTGGTTTGGTATTGATGTCTGCCATGTTGCTGTCCGTTGGTGCTTGTACCATATCGAAGCCTTTTCTGTTCTGAGCACTCGAAAAATCTGTGATGCAATGGTCCACCTTTGTCCCAAGCGCAAATTCAACAACTGAGCGAATGTAGATACCATCTGAAGCTGAAGAAATTATTGCGCGCAACTCTGCCTCACATGAAGTTAAGCTAATGATCTTCTGTGTCCTGCTGCTACTGAACAGTGGACAACTGTTCAATGCATGGAGTCCTCCTGGCGTTGACTTTCTATGGCTTTTGTTTCCGCTCCAGTCTGAATCTGAAAATGTCTCTAGGCACCAATAGTGTATGCTTTTCTTCACATAGCCTTCTCCTGCTTGTGGAAACTCAACCACTAGACAATAGTCCATCGTCTTCTTCAAGTATCTAGGAACTTCTTCAAGTGATGACATGACATAGGTGTTGGATCTCAAAATCACTGTCAAAGGTTTCTCCTCTGGAACTTGCAAGAAAACATCTTTCACATCTAGACAACCTTTCCCTTGAGAAATTGCTCCTTCTCCCTCTCTTGCTTCTTCCTCCTCTCTGACTCTCTGCAAGAAGATTCTGGGTAGAAGTTTCAGTACATGACCTGAAGTCGCTGGTGAGAAAATGTCACCTCTCTCTCCTGTAGCGAAAGCACATTCTCTTGCAACTAGTCTTGATCTTCTCTTCCACCTCTTGCTGTTGCTCCATCTCCATGGTGATAAGGTTTTTTTTCTCCAATCGTGCACATTGCGTGTAGTCTCTGCTGAGCTACTCTGCTGACTCACATTGGCTTGTTGTTGACCAACTGCATGAGTAGTCACTGAAGCCCCTCCTGAAGATGAATGGGTTGTATCACTTGCAACCTGTCGAAATTTGTTTCTCCAACGCTCTCGAGAAAGATGCCCTGGCTTCCCACCAGCTGCCACACCTGTTCCTTTCTAGTCTTTGCGCTTACCTTTGCCCTTGTGATCACCTTCCTCTCATTTCTGTTGCTCTTTTCCTTTCTTCCCTTTACCTTTGGCATCCTTGCCTTTGCCCCTTTGATAGTCATTCTTGCCTTTGTTGCCCTTTCCTTTGGCATCTTGAACCCGATCAACGTCCATAGGCATGGGTCCTTGAAGTAGCCCACTTCTGCTGATTGCAACACTTGTTCCCTCAAAGTTGAGTGTTGAACATTGTCGCCAATTGTCAAGTTCAAGTAGGGTTTGAGCTGCCCACCTACACATCTCAAAAGAATAGCAGGTTTCAACTCTTCTTGAACTGCTGTTCCTGACTTGGCCGTCTCATCAAATACCTCTTCAAGCTTAAGAAGTTGAGGTTGTGGAGCACTGTTCATAGAAAATGCCAAGAGTGCAAATCCTCTTGCCTTTGTAGGTTTCAAAGCCTTGTTCAATCTCCTCCACAGGCATCAAGTCCGTTGGAGTCCTCCACAGCTTTCACCAATTGTAGCGCCCTGCCCCTCATCAACGAAGCTAACGACCCATAGAGCCTGATGCATCTGGCTTTCTCTTCTCCAGTTGCCAAGTCCATGTCAAAGTTCTCGCTTGGCTTGTCATGAATATCCTTCAAGTCCTTCACGTAAGCCTCATCCACTGGCATAGATACTTCTCAAGTACCCATGACCACTCTCTGAACGCTTTGATCTCCTCTTCTTGTGACTTGTCATCAAATAAGTTGGGCTTTGTGGTCAACTTCGACCCATCTGTTGTAGTTGCTTTCTTCTCTTCAGCTGCTTTCTTCACTGCCTCTGCTGCTGATGCTGTTGCTTGCGTGCTTCCGTCTACGACTTCAAGGATTTCTCTTATCCACTCCATCGCTCCCGAACAATATTGTCCTTCTGACACAATGTACGAGGTTTGTCACCAATCCAGCAGTTTTGGGTTCCAAAGACCCCAAATCTATGGCTCGAAACGCTCCCGGGATCCCAGTCACCTAGGGGCTTTTCTCTGGAGCTCAAATGGGGTTACCCTTATCCTTGCTCCGCTACCATGCGAACTTCTTCTGAACACTCAAAGGGCTGCGGTCAAGTGAGAATGCTAAGTATGCTGTGCAATACTATACCTGTGATCTGCTGAAAACTCTTCACAAATATATATATATATATACACTGTAGACTGTAACTATACAATTAACAATCATTAATTATATATACGCATTATAGATTATCCCAAGTAAAGGTTGAACATCTCTGAAACCCACCATCCTCCAAATGATGTGTCGTCTCTCTTTCTTTCCCCACCTCATCACCTCAACTCGTCTCACCTAGCCTGGACTTGAAGACCCATTCTCGATTGGCGGCCATCGCTGGCGTCCGCTCCCGCGCGTGGCGTCCGCTCCCAGGCGTCGCTCCGAGCCACGCGGCTGGCGGTCGCCGTCGGCGAGGCGTTGTCCGGACCGGTGGAGAAGCCCGAGGAATGGAAAGGGCGGGACCGGGAGTGAGAATCGCTGAGAAGGGGTAGGCAAGTTGTTAACATATGGGGA